TTNGNAATTTTTACCTCTTTTAATCAACGTTTAAGTCTAAAAAACAATAGAGTTATTATAAGTTTTTTTTTCTACATCTTCTAAAACATTAAATATGAGCATGTTAGGGCTAGCTTGTAAAATAATTAATATATTATTTCACTAAAACATTTATACTAATAAAAATTTAATTTTAGCATATAAATTTATCCCTTGATATAAGAGAAAGTAACAGTTTTACTTATTGTTGTTCACCATATAATATTTAATTGTTATTTTGTTATATAATAAAAAAGAAATATTGTTAAATAGTGTAGTAGAATTGTTATAAAATTATATGACTTTTTTTACAATATGGATTTAATATTTTTTATGATTTGATAATATAAACAAATCTATACTTAACTTTGACAAGTAAAACAAATACATTAGTAAGTATTTAATGTATATACTAAATAGGAATATATTTGGTATAATCAAATACCAAATATAATCAAATAAGTCAAAGTGTACATTTTTATTTGGTATTTGATTTTTTTATTATTAAAATCTTTTTATTATACTTACCTTTTTAAAATAAAACAAATAAATAAATCAATTAAATAAATAAAATATTATAATACCAAAATAGTAATGGCATTTAATGCAGTTGACTTTTCTGGATAATAAATGTAGTAAATAGAATCTCCTTTTATATAAGTATAGATTGTATAATACGGAAATAATAATGCAATAAATATTGTTGACTTTTCTTTATACTAAATCTGGTAAATGGTATACCTTTTAATATAAGTATAGATAATACTATACTACTCTATATTTTATCTTCAAATACTGAAATACAGCAGCGACTCATCGTTAAACGCAGGATTGCATTTAATTGGTTTTGTGGCAACTTTTGCTGTTCGTTCCCAAGTCAATAGCATTATTTCATCTTCACTTACACCTCATTTGTCCTTCCAATTCCAATTCTCTCTCTCTCTCTTTCCCTTTCTCTCTCTCTCCCTCTCTCTCTGTGTGTGAACTTTTCAAGTGAAATGGAAGCAAAAGTTGCAGTTAACAAGCATTTTTTCAAGGTGATGATGCCTGGTTTCCATGAAAAACTGGTGAGCCCTTCATATCATTTTCTTACTTTTTCATTTTTGTATTTTTTTTTCCCGATTCATTTCAAATGTCTCTCTAACTAAATGATTTGGAACCTTAATTCTTTATTGTCCAAAACAATGCAACATTGTCAAGTGCACTGCAGTCAAACTCACCCCATTTTATTATTCTTTGAAAATCCTCTGTTTTATCCTTTATGCAGAACATACCACCAGCTTTCTCCAAGAATCTTGGTAGAGAAAAATCAGGAGAAGCAATTTTAACAAGTCCCAAAGGAACATGGACAGTGGAGGCTTGCAGAGATGGAGAAGAAGGCCTACTGTGTTTGAAAGATGGGTGGCCTCAATTTGTCCATCACCACAGCCTAAGTGTCGGTGATTTTGTCGTGTTCCAACACATTAGCGGCTTGCGTTTCAACGCCTTCATCTTCGACCGAACAGCGTGCGAAAAGGAATTTCTCGATCGGCCCATCAAGAAAGAGCTTCATGTACCAAATTCCCCTTTACATCTAAAAAAGCCCATCAAGAAAGAGCTTCATGTGCCAAAAAAGCCCATCAAGAAAGAGCTTCATGTACCAAACCAGGCACCAAATTCCCCTATACATCTAAGAAAAGCCATGTGTAAGCTCTCTCTCTCTCTCACTATTCCAAGTGATTTTTTCTTTTTTCACTGGATTTAACCANCATCTGATGTTTTTCCAATGTTTGGCGCCAAATCCTCATGTTTCTTGACTTCATTGAATTTTTTAGCATATATTTCGAGCAAAATATCTAATGTTTCGATATATTGATATTGGACTAAATTTCAAAAGTTGACCATTCAAAATAAAAATTCCCTAACCACTCCAAAGTTGTAGGACCAAAAAGGTTAGCTTTAATTTCTTGCTAGATTTCGTACTCATTTGTAACTGAGTCGACTCGGACGATTGACGTGTAGGGGAACGTGAGAAGGAATTAGCGAGATCACACAACATCCAGGAGCCGCATTTTCTCTTGACGATGAAGCCTTATCACGCGAGCAAGTCGTGGGTGGTGAGTTAATCGATTATTAGTTTCGAATTTGCTAATTAATGAATACGAATGTGTCGATACATACAATTTGCTAATTAACGCAATTGTTTCAGCACATCCCGAGCGAATTCTGCCAGTCGATGAAGCTCGAGGACAAGCCGTACATGATTGTAAGAGATCCTCTTGGAAGGTCGTGGCCGATGAAGCTCAAATTCGAAAAAAATAATGGGTGCAAACGGATTAGAATATGTTTTGGGTGGAACGAATTTTATGAATCAAATGGTCTCAAGGAAGGAGATGTTTGTCTTTTCGAACGAGATGTTTGTCTTTTTAAACTTGTTCGCCCGTCTCTCGAGTCCATGGCTGTCGTGATGAACGCTCGGTTTTCTCGTGCACCGGCTCACGCGTAATCATAGAACTTTTGATCATTTGAAGTTCGGTAATGATACTTTTTGGTTTGGAGCAGTTTGTAACTGCAAGGTCTTTTGATGGCAATAGGCAGAAAAGAGGATTTAACTTTTGTGGACCTTGTTGCTTGCTTTGTTCTATTATTATACTTGGGCTTATATATGGTTAAGTATTTATTCTGTTTTGGTGCCATGGATATGATGAGAGAGTTTGAAACTTTGAATACGGATGAGCTTAAAACGTTTTGTGCTCTTTTTGAATCATGAATTAGATAATTAGTTGCAGTTGTTGTACATACAAACATGTTTTGCATCTTTTTCCATTTTTTCTCGGTTAGAATATATGTGCGCGTGGTCATCATTTCACATTAAATAAAGCTGGAAAAATAAATGAAGCGTACCATGATCTTAAAGTCAAGTTATTTTTTCTAAGGGTAATCTATATCTATATACATATAACTAGTACATAGCCGTGCACGGGGTGCACAATTTTAAGGTTATTTATCTAGACTTATAATTATATACATGAATAAAGAAAAATGTACGGGATATATATAGTACGTGACCCGTGCAAAGCACCGGATATATTTATTTGGAGAATATTATATTATAAGATGCAATATTCAATAAAAATTTATAATACGCAAGAAAATTGTACAATGTTCAATAAAAGTTTTATAATATTCAAGTGGAGTCTTAAAGTCACTTGTACATTAAGACTACTGACAAAATAATATTTTAATCAATGAGTTTCCTTTCCTTGTAGCCAAATTGTGAATGTGATTTGAGGAGTACAACAAATCAATATATAGCTGACTTGCTTTTTTCATTGTAGTTTTTTTTTCTTTTTTTTCATAATGAATTTAAAGATATTCTAAAATATAGCAAAAATTAATTTTTTTTATTACAATTAGGAATTTTACTAAATATAGACTCTCAATCTATGGTGTTAATCAAGGTTTAAGTCTAAAAAATTAGGAATTTTTACCTCTTTTAATCAACGGTTAAGTCTAAAAAATAATAGAGTTGTTATAAGTGTTTTTTTTTACATCTTTTAACACATTAAATATGAGCATGTTAGGGCTAGCTTGTAAAATAATTAATATATTATCTCACTAAAACATTTATACTAATAAAAATTTAATTTTAGCATATAAATTTATCCCTTGATATAAGAGAAAGTAACAGTTTTACTTATTGTTGTTCACCATATAATATTTAATTATTATTTTATTATATAATAAAAAAGGAATATTGTTAAATAGTGTAGTAGAATTGTTATAAAATTATATGATTTTTTTTACAATATGGATTTAATATTTTTTTATGATTTGATAATATAAACAAATCTATACTTAACTTTGACAAATAAAACAAATAAATACTATAGTAAGCATTTAATGTATATACTAAATAGGAATATATTTGGTATATCAAATACCAAATATAATCAAATAAGTCAAAGTGTACATTTTTATTTGGTATTTGATTTTTTTATTATTAAAACCTTTTTATTATACTTACCTTTTTAAAATAAAACAAATAAATAAATCAATTAAATAAATAAAATATTATAATACCAAAATATTAATGGTATTTAATGCAGTTGACTTTTCTGGATAGTAAATGTAGTAAATAGAATCTCCTTTTATATAAGTATAGATATGATATATTATATTATGTTGCTCAAAATAGTAATGCATTTATTGCATTGACTTTTCAACTTACTAAATTTCGTAAATGGTACACCTTATTATATAAGTATAGATTAGTGATTATTCAATTAATATTATTCCTAAAAAATTCCTGCTCATTTTATTTTCATCTAATTATAGAAAATAACCGTTACTTTTTGCATTGCCTAATTGTGACAATAATTTTTAATTATTTTATTATATCATAATTACCAATAATATTAACTAATTATAAATTTACATTAAAAGTTGTACGTAAGTTACACTCTTATAAGAAATATTATAGCAAAATATTTTCTCCATGCTATCTATTTTAAAATTAATATTATCTTTTTATTTTTATTACATACAGGCGATTTTTTTATGTACCTGATTGATTTTAATGGTATAACCATTCCCTTAAAATTACTCATATATTTGCTATAATAATAACACTTTTAATATTTTTTAGCTAACTATTTGGTTATAATCCCTTAAAATTGTAAAAATAAAAAAGCATATTACATTTTATGCAATGTATGTAGTTTTTATATATAAGTAAAATAATTTATAATTATAATGTTCATTGCTCCTAATGATCATTATTATAAAATGTGATATACTCATTATATAACTTATAGTTTTAAATATAATAATTTACTTTTGTATATGTGGATTTGCGCAGGATCGATTAATTTAATTATATGTGATATGGGATATTATACGACTAAGGAGCAGACCGGTCCATCATGTCGGTCAGGCAGGCATGGGGTGGAGAAAACCACGTTGGTTGAAGGATGATCGACCAAAACGGAATAGATCGAGCAGAATAGCAGAGCTGGTCGAGGATCGATTTAGTAAGGGGAAGCTCGATCAGATCGAGCACGCAGCAGGTAGGAAGCAGTCGAGAGCGTGACTTGACCGCGAGTAGGCGCGTGAGTGATGGCAGGAGATCCCAACGGTTTGCGCAAGGGAATAATTCCCCTCAGCTCAGAGGGGGGCACGTGGCGAAAACATACTGGTGCAGAGTGATAGTGGTAACAACCACCTCTGACACCCCTGACATTTCTGACAACACGCACACTGTGTGCGTACGGACGAACAACGCGGGCAGGACAGCTCACCAATATCCGGGCAGCTCTAAGGGCAGGTATCTCACTCCTATATATAGGGAGTGGGTCTTTTCCTAGGGTTTACGATTTATCCATTCTTTACTTTGGAAAATTGAACAAACATATACTGACTTAAGCATCGGAGACTCTTCACCGGAAAACCCCTCCGGTGTGAGAGTTCTGTGCAGGAACGCGGCGTTCTATCGGCGAGGAAGAAGGAAGCAAACCGATTTCAAGCAGATCGGAGTGTTTTGCGTTACCAATATGTATAAAAAACTAATATAACTTTTAGAATAAATAGCTTGAAAAAAAAAATGCAATGCAATGTTTGATGTGTATGTAACTTACATATATCATGTAAATTATAATCATTAACATTGCATTCAAGCTGAAAGAAATTGGGGGGAAACGGGTGCGGGTCCACTATCATGAAGCACCATGAACGGGGAAAAGCCTATATGAAACCCAAGTGGGGTTCCATCTCAAAACCAATTGGTGGAAGGAGGAGTAGCCCATTAGACTTATAAGGTGAGTCTATTTTCCATGTATGAACGATGTGAGACAACTCACAAGTGATATTCTAAGACAAGCAACATAAGCTTTTTTTTTCTCGAAACGATAAATTTTCATTAGAATCTCACATAATAACATCTGACATACAACTGAATACAAATCACCATCCTACTTCATAGGAACTTGAAATAAGAAAGTGACAGGAAAAAGTAAAGGTCACCTTTCTTCCCCTCCAAACAACTAAACTAACTAACAAACCAAAACCAAAAACAAGAACAAGAGTTTCAACACCAAAACTAGTTTACACAACAAGCCACTACTAACACAATAAAACTACAAATCCCAGACCAAATCAAACAGCAAAAAAATAAAAGTGCACTTACCAAAGCCAATAAGTAAGTTCAACATTTTAGCAACAATGTTTTTTCCTAGGATTGTAGGTTCTGCTTACTTTGACCCCTTTCGTAGTGAGTTGATCTTGAGTACCCAGAAACCTATGTCAACACCTCCAAAGAAACATCTTGATTTTGTTTTTGATCTTCACCCTCCATTTCTGTTTCCACACTCTCTTAACCATTTTGAGATGGTTACTTGATTTAGGTCTTGAGTTATGCAAATTAAATTTGTTTCCCAGGATTTTGTACATTGACTTAACATAAAACAAAGAAGTGCCAAATTAGCCTATCTTTGTTTCCTTCTTGAGGAGCTGGTAACTTGAGTATACTCTCAGCATCTCTAGGACTAAATCTCTGTTCTACGAAACTTCTATCCCATCTCGATCAAATATCAGACATCTCTATCATTGAAAATAAAAAATAAAGTTTTTCTTATGCACAAACCTCCTACCTTCTTCGACGAACGATTTCTTATGAAACATCAGAAATCGATAAATAATACATCATATTATTCGTCTCTTCATGGGCTTAAAAAATCATAAATCAATTTTAAAGTTCAATTTAAGTCCATCGCTGATTGAATTAAAATATTTTGGATCATGCTAGGGTTTTTTATTTCAGAAAGCAAATTGTCAATTTCATCATATACTTTGAGAGGTAAAATATTTTTTTCCATAAAATTATGTTAGTAGAGAAGTTAAACGACACAAGTCTCTCGTGAGCTATGCTCGACTGTGCTTGTTTCATAAACAAGCTGAACTCGTGCTCGTTTAGTTAATGAGTCAAGCTCGACTCAACTTGATAAAACTCGAAAATATGAATTTTAATATAACTTTCTATTATTCAACTCGTTAAAGTCAAAATTTGGCTCAAACTCAACTCATTAATTTGATAAACAAATCACAACTTAAACACTACATCGATTACGATGAGTTCAAACTCGGCTTGTTTTACACTAGTAAAGTTACTAACATCAATTCCTAAACATGATGTACATATATATACCGCATGATAGATTCTATCTATTTTTGTAAGTCAGAAATGAGAAATGAAAAAATATTAGAAGATTCCATCGACATTCCCACAGCATAATTTGTGATCACCTAATTTGTACCTACTTTATCACATATATACTTGTGCATCTAACGGTTACAAATTCCAACGGAATAGTTCCATAACGGGACTATAGCATTTTCTTAGACTTAGAATTAGAACTTTGAATCAAAACTAGATGTTGAATGAGCTTTAGTTGGTTTAATTTACCTCGTTAAGGTTGAACTTTGCTCGGTTCATGTAATAAGCGTGAAACTCGTTTAGTTAATGAACCAAATTCAAAATAGTATTTTTTTTTTATAAGTTTGGCCAGTTAATTTGTGAAGCAGAAAACAAGTCGGACCTTAAATATTTGATCAATAACTTCTCCAAACAAGATTATAAAAATCCTCCTAATATATAATTGCAGAATGCGCCGAGGCTAAGCGACAGCCTCGCATGTTTCGAATCCTACTTAGGAAAAAACATGCTTCGTAGTTTGGTTCGGATAAAAAATAATATTATTCTAAATCAATAATTTTAGGTT